ACAACCACAGCAAAAACAAAATGCGTATAGAATTTCAAGTGTCGTTTTCAAGAATTATTTTTCATTTAAAGAAATAAAAAAAAAGATTATTTTTGATGAATCAATCAACACCCATTGGCATATTCAATGGCAAGAGATTTTCCGAACTGTAGGGAAACTTAAAAATACGAAGTTTGTGAATATTTTAAAGTCCAAATAGAAAAAAAAATATCTAAATTTCTCATACTCAATCACTGGATTCAAATTATTTGTATTTGCAGAAAAAAAAAACTTTCTTGGGAATATTTGAGAAAGAGTCTGCTGCATAATTTCAATGTAAGTTTCGAAACGCTGTTGTAACCAAAAGGAAGATTCTGTAGATTGACGTATAATCCATAGTTCACCAAGATATTTGTTTGTATTTTTTAACACCATAGGAATTTCTAGGTCATTTATTGCTGAAATTTAATTTTCTTCGCAGTTTTGAAATAATAAAAATACGGTATATATTATTCCGTCTTCACAATTGAATACATGGCAGATAAAACCCAGCTTTTGTGCATAAACATGTCTTCTTGGATATAATAGTTAGAAGGCTGTGTGTTTTATGTTGTAGTTTTATTGAAGTTATATTTTGGAATACAGTTTGATTTCTCTAAGATATTATGTGGATTAATTCCAAAAAAGAATTTTTTCATATTTAAATGAATTTGTTTAGCAGCACATCAAATTCTATGGGTTATTTATGCCGAAAACTAAATAATTTGAACACAGTTTTATGGCTTCAACTAAATATATTTTGAGCGAAGTTATTATTTAATTTAGTTGATTATGTCTAGCGGCATATCAACACCTCTATGGGTTATTTAATGCAGAAATCTAAATATTTTGAAAGTAATTGTCTACATTTAATTACTGATAGAATATATGTTTAGACATTTTGCTATAAAATGTATCGTTGGTAATTCTACAATAAACCTATATTACTGGTAATTTTTATTATAAAAAATCTATTTTTATACTTCCATAGTGTTTGTTTTTTGTTGGGGGGGCGTCACTTAACAGGTGCTACCACCTCGGGTAGGGGTGGACCTGCAGTTAATAGGCAGTTCCAAACTCCGCAAAACCTCGAAGCTCTCGATCAGAGGTATTACTTCTGAATGTAATTTATCGTCATACCCAAGACTAGAAGACAATTGGATTTCTTTAACAACAGATAAAATGCATTGTTGGTCATTTTACTATAATTATGCATTGTTCGTCATTTTTATATAGAAACAAAACGTATTTCTGGTATTTTTACTCTAAAAATGTATTTTCATAGTGGTTTGCTTGGGGATTCACTATTTTTCCATAGCTGGGGCCCTAACAGGTGCTACTATCTTGGGTCAGGGTGGACCTGTAACCTGCAGCAATTAAAAGGTGGCTCTATGCTCCTTAAACATCCAGTATCCCGATCAGAGGCATTGCCATCGGATATAGTATACTGTCATACCCAGTACTACAAAGATATGTGTCATCTCAGAAATCCAGTGTTGACAATAAATCTAAAGGACATTTACGAAAGTGCCAAAACCAATTTTAACAAGGCATGAATGTATATGCATATAAATCGTCTTATTTTTCTTTTTTCTTTTAATAATTCTTTCTCTATTTATGCGGCTACCAGAATTAACAGAGAAATGACTTATAATTCTGCTGTCTACAAAAAGATTACTACGACTCAATACACTTTTCTTCGAAACCTTATCCTCTTTTCACGAAAAAAACCCGAAATTAGCCCAGCTTTCATCTATTAGATTTTCTCTAAGGATTGCTGTTCAGAAATCAAATTTATTCGAATTCGGGTCTGCATGCAGTGTGGTGGATAGCTGTTTGAAAAGGGTTGATAAGCCGTGGAAAAAAATCAATGTTTCCTTTCATCATTTTAGCTAATATTTAATTTATTTTGCAGGTTTTCTGTTTGTTTAAATTCGCAACAGTTAACGCAATCAGTTTAGTGCTTTTTGTGATGTCACCCAACACACGTTGCCACTTTTGTGATGTCAATGAATACTCGTCAGCGTAATTATGTGTACAATATAATTAAACCACTTTTTTTTTCTAACGAAATTTTCGTGTTTCTTATACGTTATGTAGTGTAGGAGGAGACACGGTGGTGTAATGGATAGCGGCTCGGATTGAGGGGAGCCGAGTTCAAATTCCAGGGGAATCCATTGCATTCACGTACATGCTAATATCCTTGGGATTAATCTCTTCTTCTCTCCATCTCTAGCTATGATAGACCGGGTTCTATAGCCTTGGATAGCAACTAGTCTACCGCAGAAGGAAATGGCAACCTACTGCGGGAAAATATCTGCATTGTAATACATGATCGCCCAAGCGTGTATCAAGCATGGCACATAATTGACTAATTGATGTAGTGTTTCGAAGACAATTGTTGCTACTCTAATTCTGATTGTGATTATGTAAGTATTCTCTGTCACATCATGTGATGTCTATTATAACCCTTGTCAGTTATTAATATTTCCACACTTGATTCATTTGGATGTCTTCAATTCATGCTCCTCATTGTCCTTATACGACTGTCTTGCAGTGGGTTTGAACTTTACCTCCCTCTTTCGTTTACAACATCATTTAGAAGTTTCTACAGTTTCCTTGATACTTATACATTCAACATAGTGACATCTGTTAGTCCTATGTTGTTAAGACAGCACCGACCACAACTATGTGACGAATACATTGCCCAAATATTACTTTCCTATGAACAAGATCATTAACCCTCCATTCGATATACTTTCCAAAACACACACTATCGGTAAAAATTTACCAATAATAGACAGGCTTTAACTCTCAGAGACCAGCCTTCATGAACAATTTTAACTCTTCTGCATGAGCTCCTGAGTCCAAATTCGTAAATAATTGGTATGTAATGCTTCACGGTAGATATAAAAATAGTTACAAGTGTATTACCCACAGTTCACCTTGTGGCTGGGCATTAAGTCATTTTCTCTACCACTGTTTTGGTGATGTCAACGAACTCTCGTTGCCACTTTTGTAATGTCAACAAATAACCGTTGTTACTTTTGTCATGCTCGTTATAGTAGAGACTTTGTAATCGCCGATACAATTATAATATGCCGTTGAACAATTATGGTGTCAGATGCCTTCGAATATCACTTGCTCTAATAATACTTGCTCGATAATACTCGCTCGTGTAGTGATCCGAATAGAGAAATAGTATAGTGAATAGAGAATAGTGATCCGTATAGTAATAGAGGATAGACTAGAGAAAAAAAAATGATCAATTAGACGTCACGCAAATTCCTACTTATACGTTTCCTCTCCGGTAACGTGTTCTACTTAATTCAATAATGGGATCGCCTCTGTTTGCTTACTGGCGATCTATGTTCAAACTCAAGTGTCGGCAGCGACACTTTATTCCTATATAACTCTTTTTAACCGGTGGTCATTTTTCTCTACCACTGTTCAACTGGTTGCTGGGCATTAAGCTATTTTTCTCTACCACCTGTTCAAACGATTTCTTGACGAATTAATTCTTCTTGTGTTCTAACAAGAGCTTTCTTTTCTGTACAAAAAGTGTGTAAAAATTGTCCAAATATTTTATATTTCCGAATACGGTTAGCACATTGGGGCTACAATTACACACCCTTTGTCAAGAAAAGAAAGCTCTTGTTAGAACTCAAGAAAAATTAAATAAAAAGCTTAACCGTAGTACTACCTTGTCTGTCGTTTTTAATGAAACACACACACACACACACACACATATATATATATATATATATATATATATATATATATTGACTTTACTAATATATAACGATATATACGAATCTCGAATAAGTATGGAGGATAATTATTAATGCTTGTAATTGAAATCGTTTTCTCTGATTCTCCATTTTCAGCTCGCTTTTAGAGTTACGTTATAATTCCATGTAACTTATTACCTCTTTCGTAAGCTTGAAGAAATCATTTGAACTGTGAAAGGACTGAACAGAAAGCTATCATTTTCTGGATATGCCACACTGAATATTTCCGACATTATAATATTTCGTGCAGAAATTTGGATCTGAAAGCACGAATTCTTTGTCCGTTCTCGCAGTATTTGTTTAGGTTGACATAAAGTTTCGTTGGTTTTGTTTTTGTTTTTTTTTTGTTTTTATCGAAAATTGAAGCCTATAATTTTGAAAAACATTTCCTTCCATCAAACCTCGGAGCTTCTTCACGACAAAGAAGAATCTTTAATTAAGAAAAGTCAAATAATATCGAGAACAGACATATCAGTGAATAAATAGACATAGATTCAGGTTTGTTTATTCCTAACAGGTTTTTGAATATCAGAAGTTCCTAAACTGTGTTTTCAAATTTGACGTTTTGACATCAAAAGGCAGTTCGATTACGACAATAATTGTCAGTCATCGAAGAGGAAAAAAAACTGATGACAAATTGCGTGATAATTAAAAATCGAATAGACATAGACGTGAAAAAAGTATTTGTTATCTTTTTTGTTCCGACATAAAAATAAAAACGGCAGATGGTGAAATATTTATTCAGAGTAGACACTGAAAGAATAAATCATTTCATGTAGGAAAAGGGAAGTAAATTTAGGAAGAGCGAAAAGATTTAAAAAAAAAAACAATAAAATAAAAATAAATTAAAAAAATAAGTCACAACAAAAGAATGAAAGGCGTGAATTCCCGACAGGGAGACAAAAAAAGTAGAAGAGAAAACGGAAAAAAAAGAAAACTGTCAGAGGAAATAAGAAAGAAATATTTGAAACCATCGGGGGGAAAAATTTTGTAAACAGAATTTAGACAACATGAAAAGAGCGTGAAAAAAAATGTGAAATTTTGATGTCTGAAAAAAAAAGATAAGTAAATGAAGAAAAAAAAATCACTGTAAATATTTTGTGAAACATAGCACGCAGAAAGTTTTTGTCAAGGGACAATAATTTCACTAATAATGAAAAAATGAACGAAACAAGTGAAGGAAGAAAAGAATCAAGCAAAAAGAAGAAAAATAAAGTAAGAAAAGAAGAAATAAAAAATGATGGAAAATGGAAAAAGAGAGAAAAAGAACGGATGAAGTAATAAGTGAAAAGAAAGAAAGAAAGACAGAAAGAATCGAGGGTTAAAAAGAAAGAAAGAAAGAAAGAAAAGGAAGGAAGGAAGGAAGGAAGGAAGGAAGGAAGGAAGGAAGGAAGGAAGGAAGGAAGGAAGGAAGGAAGAAAAACAGACAGTCAGACAGAAAGAATGTATGTATGAAAAGAAAGACAGACGGAAAGAATGAATGTATGAAAAGAAAAAAGATGGAAATAATGAATATGAAAAGAAAAAAAGAAACAAGCAAAGAATATATGAAAAGAAAGACAGAGAGAGAGAGAAAGAATAAATGTATGAAAAAAAGAAAGAAACAAACAAAGAATATATGAAAAGAAAGAGAGAGAGACAGAAAGAACGAATATCCATAAATAAAGAAAGAAAGGAAGAATGAATGAATGAATAAATGAAAAGAAAGCCGAAAAAGAAAAAAGAAGTAAAGAAATTGTCTTGCGCCAAATACATATATGTTTGAGAATCATTAACAGACATTTTTATATATTTCAAATGATATTTTTATATATTGGCATACAGGGGTTTTTGGGTTTTTTTTTTTTTTTTTTTACAGGAATAAAATAATTTGGCGTTTAAGTGATCTTTAGTTCCTGAAAGAAAATAATTGTCCCGAAGAAAAAAAAATATTTTGAAAATAAATAGCGCTCCCTACCAGATAATCTCTGTACCAGGGAAAAACACAGGGAAATAATTTAAACATAAAGAGTCCTGTATTTTGGAAGATGAAGTGACGCAGAATAAAATAGATGGAAATCGACGACAGGAAAAGGAAGGGAAAATATTGAAGAAGAAAATTACTAGAATACAGAACCGGTTTTCTTTTTGTTATTGTTGATTTTTGTTTTGCTCAGGCAGGACCGGGATTAATCTCTCACAAACAAGGTGGGTCCTGCCTGCGATCATTTGTCATAATAATTTGAGGTAAGGTTTAACAAGGCCGGATTATTTTCCTGTCGTCCAACGCAAACACTCACGATAGTCCAAGTAATCTGAGTGAGACATCATATCTAGAAAGGTTGCTACTCAAAGCATTAGACCCTATACTAGCCATATGTATATATATATATATATATATATATATATATATATATATATATATATATATAAGTATAGGATCGGTGTATACGGAACAAATTCCAATAACCAACAAATACTATTCTTAAAAGAGTGCTCAATACAGAGTAGAGCGAATATAATTATTTATTTAAAAGATTTTTAAATAAATAATTATATATATATATATATATAATAGCTGGCCACTCGGATTCGAATGATATATGTCTACTAGGGCGGCTAGCAAATCCCGATTGCAGACGTTTGCTCGGGCATATTTGTGTTTGTTCAACCCGTGGTTTATGCTGCAACTATGATGAGCAGATTTTAGTTACAGTTCATGGGAGAGAGCGTGTTATCTAGAATGATCAACAATCTGAACTACACGAGCACACTCAAAACCCTCGGTCACGATGGCTTGTGACTTTGTGCTAGCACAGATATCGATGGATCGAGTGTTTCGTCTACACAATTTCACTCACAAGGCTTGGGTCAACCCGTGGTATAGTTTGCAGGCATTTTACAAAGGGACCGCACGCTAGGTTCGTCCCTCTTCCAGACAGAAAACATCAGGAAGTCTCCTTTCTAATATATATATATATATATATATATATATATATATATATATATATATATATATATATATTTTTTATTTTTAAAAAATATGATTCCATCGCTACACAGGAATTACCCTGTTTCAAAAACAGAAGCTAAAAACTTTTCATTTTCAAAATTCACTTGAAAACGAAACAGAACTAAGTACTTTAATTATAATTTAATTAATTTTATAGAAATTAAATTAAAGTAACTTGTTATCTATCATTTTCAAGTGTATTTTGAAAATAAAACAGAACTATGTACTTTAATTTCATTTCTATAATTGAATTTGCAGTTTTTAGCTTCTGTTTTTGAAACATGGTAATTCCTGTGTAGCGATAGAATCATATTTTAAAAAAATAATTTTAATCTAGGCTCTAGTTGTGCATTGAGCACTGTTTTTTTTTTAAATAAAAACAAAATACTAAAGAACTTCGGATCATCAATCTAACGGTTCTTTCCTATTTTATCAATATATATATATATATGTGTGTGTGTGTGTGTGTTTGGTGCGTGCGTGTGTGTGTGTACCGTTGGCTTTTATAAGTATCTCATACGCCCTTTAAGAGTTTTTTTTTTTTGTTGTTTTTCGTCTACGGCATGTCACACTCCTCAACCATAGCGAAAGCTAAAGCCGTACCACACGTCCATGCGACATGTTGTACTACAATAAGACAATTTTAAAACAAAACTTAGCCAACTAGTGGCTAGTTCGATCCTCACTAGGCTCCCTATACTTGAAGACCTTGTGCAAAATTAGAACTAATCTTCCACTGTGCAACTGGGATGACTGTAATATAGATCATTGTAATATTAGTATTGCATTGCTTTCTTCATTGTAAATTCGAGTAAAAGTCGATGAACAAAGCGTGTGTGCGATTGATTGATTTCTTATTTGTAGAAAAAGGTTCACAAAGATTCTTCGATCTCCCGTCCGCCAATCAAAAGTTCGAGATCTTCAAATGTTGTGCGTATCTTTAAGTAACTTCGACGCGTGCAAACTTAAAAAGCCTCCGGGCAAATGATCCCATCCTTTGTCGTTGAAGTGGATCAGAGATTCGAAGCTTAGGTCACTCTTTAAGTCTATTGATTGACTCCGAAACTGCCCATCAGCCGGATGTTGTCAAGTTGTTATCGCTTTTTAAGATTCGACAGGAAGCAGTCGCCAAAATCTTCACCTGGCGGCAGTCTTCGATACAATGGAACGGCGTCGTGCAAGATTATCTGTAAATGTCTATTCTAACTTGTTTTCAGTTCGCTCGAAAAGTGATAAAAGTAAACGATTTTTCTCTTTGAGATAACAATGTGGGTTTGTCGAATTCATTCGAAGGAATTTTCTGCTTTGTAATGGGGGACAAACTGACGCAGCTCAACGTGCTGCGACGTTGATTCATTAATAAGCGACAATATTTCAAATCTTCTTCTCTGATATTTACACTCCTCTTTTAATACTGATGGTGACAATTACACCCTTGGGCAAATTAATTGAGACAACTGCTTTAGTTTTATTTCTTTAACTATACGGTCAGTTTTAGAGCTATTGGAGTGACAGAGTGTAATCGATTTCTATTTTTTCATCAGATTAGTTTATTTACAGTGGTGTGCAGTAATATGAATCTTTTTTCAAGGAGTATGATGAAATTTGTTTGGCCTTGAAAAATATTGCGTCATCCGTGATTGCATCAGATTTTTATCACACCCAGACACTATTGTCGCAATCGTCGATTAGTTGTCCTACGTCCATTATCTGCGATGGAATTTACTCTAAAGAAGCGCACAGAAATTGTACGAACAAACTGGCAAGCCTTACCGGTGAGTACTATATACTAACCCGGAAACCCTCCTGTTTTAAATTCATATTTGATTCATTAAAATCTGCAATGAACGATTTTGTGGAATGGACATATGAAGTATTAATGTGAGCACTGGGTCATGTTTCATAGGGAAAATACGAAAAAAGAAATAGTATGGAAGTATTCGTTTTGTTTCAATTAAATTACACAAAGGTGTAAATGGAAAATGACAGAGATTTAGACTAGACTTTATTTCAAATATGCACCCTACTTCTTCTATGGGCCAAGTCTTTCCAGGTTTTTGGCGGTCATAGCTCTTCACGACTTTCCATCCTCAGCAAGGTTTATCCTTTAATTAGCACACTTACTCAGTGTTCTGCTATCCAATTACACGGCCACATTACATAGTTTACTCTTTGTATTCCTTCCTTTATTCTTATGTTCAATATGTCCCATTAACGTAAGATTTTCTAAGCCTTTTCCCCACATTTCTTAGAGATTTCAACTTCCTCTATCTGATAGCGAGTAAGTGTCCTTTCTGTTTGCATTCTACATAAAATATCTTCATTTGCCATATGTTCTGTCCACGAAATCCTTAAGAAACTTAGAACCACATCTCTGTTGACTCAGATTTCCTCATCTAGGGGCAAAATCTCCAAAATTCACTGTCAGATAAGAGTACTGATATTAGATAGACTTCCTTTCTAATGAAATATTCAGCTTTCATACTAGTTTGTTTAGTTTCTCGGATGTTAATCAAAATATAAACTGATGACGTATCGTATAGAAATCCATTTATTTTGCTTATCACATCAAGAAATACTAGTTGATTTGAATCGATTTTACTGTTAATAAGAAACGCTTGTTCTTAGAGAAGGTGACATTTGGTGACCTCAATATCTACTGGGGTTATCCAAAGAGGTGCTAGATTATATTTTCGCACAGAACACCAGTGTAGCGCGTTGCATGAGGAAGATAATTTAACAACCATAGGATACAGATTCGCGAGTAATAGGATGTAAACATATGGTAGATTCAACGGTACTTAGGATGTGCATATGCGGGAAAACTGAATGACCGGTAGATTTATAAGCATCCCACTCAAGAGTGAAAAATCCATCACATTCTCGGAGGAAGAATATAGGTTTTTGTAGAAAGCCCGTCAAACCATATTCAACCTTAAGTTAGTATTATTTGATGAAGTCCAGTAGTGAATAAACAACAGTTTTATGTTTGCAAGATTTATTTATTTGTATTGACAACGGAATATAACACATGTATTCTCCCGGTCACTACTATCGGTTACAACCAGAAGAAGACCTTATTCTCCCGGCCACTACCATCGGTTACAACCAAAATAAGTCCTTATTCTCCCGGTCACTAACTTCGGTTACAACCAGAAGAAGGCCTTATTCTCCCGGTCACTACCATCCGTTACAACCAGAAGAAGTCCTTATTCTCCCGGAACTACCATCGGTTACAACCAGAAGAAGAACTTATTCTCCCGGTCAGTACCATCGGTTACAACCAGAAGAAGAACTTATTCTCCCGGTCAGTACCATCGGTTACAACCAGAAGAAGTCCTTATTCTCCCGGTCACTACCATCGGTTACAACCAGAAGAAGTCCTTATTCTCCCGGTCACTACCATCGGTTACAACCAGAAGAAGGCCTTATTCTCCCGGTCACTACCATCGGTTACAACCAGAAGAAGGCCTTATTCTCCCGGTCACTACCATCGGTTACAACCAGAAGAAGGCCTTATTCTCCCGGTCACTACCATCGGTTACAACCAGAAGAAGGCCTTCTTCTCCCGGTCACTACCATCGGTTACAACCAGAAGAAGGCCTTCTTCTCCCGGTCACTACCATAGGTTACAACCAGAAGAAGGCCTACTCGGACAGACAATTTCTCATTTATTAATTTTTATTAAATACAGTACGAGATACAATGGAAAAAATATTACAGGAGAAAGGCGAAGTTGAATCAAATTTATAACTACCACCGGCTTACGAGACTAGAAAACCGCGTCCAATATTTAGCCATTTACTTTGGTTTAAACACCGTCTTCTCTTATATGAATAGAATATATAAGTATTTAGCTTCAAGACGAGCCTAATATTTCCAACGCTACGCAGATTCTGGAAAGGGCAAAAACTGCTAAGGATGTACAAATGTTGTACAAGACCCGTTAAATAGAGAAGTGCTCAATGGAGGCGTAATGTGATTTCGTATTTTACTCAGTAGCTCTAGTACTGTTACATAGTCCTGGGTATGACGATAAACTTCATCCGGCAGCAAGGCCTCTTGTCGGAAGATTGGAGGTTTTAAGGAGCGTGGAATCCCCTCCTAATTGCTGTTGTTCCGAAGTCTACCATAACCCGGCTTGGTAGCACCTGTTAATGTCCTAGCTATAGACAAATAGCAACAGCACCAAAACAAAACGCTATGAAAGTTTAAAAATAGCTTTTTATAGTAAACATACCAACAATAAATTTTTACATTATTCAGACTATTGTCCTCATCTTTGTCGCCATACTTATTACAAAGTTTCGGCCGTTTTACGCTCTGGCCTTCTTCAGGGGGTTGGAATGTCGAACTGAACCCTTTATTTCGCTCACTGGGGTAGACTGTTCTAGTTCCACGTGCCATGTCTAATGGATGTCCTGTTAATTTCCCTCTGAAAGTTCTCCACTGCCTTTTTTATATACAAAAATACGCATATACTAAGAAATTGTAGCAAATCCGTTTAAACTACTACAAAACAACTAACAGAAAAAATTGTTATGATACTAAGGCATATAAAAAAAAAAAAACCTAACTCAAACTGTATTCTAGAATATAACTTCGACCTAAAACACACATCACGGTCGCTAGTAATTATGTCCTCACAAATATGTATATGTACAAAATCTGAGTATCATCTACCATGTATTTAATTGTGAAAGCGCAATAATATATAAAACTTTTGTACTTCCAAACTCACAATAAAATATAATTTTAGCATTAAATGAGCCATAAGGAACCGGTAAATAGACAAATCAATCTAGTTATACAAGTATATCTTAGTATTTCTTATCTTAACATAAACTTGACGAAAACAAAATGGTATTATCTAAATATTTACGTTATTATTAAGAGAAAAGATCAAAGTATTTTTGGGGTATTTTTTTACATTTTTTAATCGTTCATACCAGGTCCGAAATTTTCGTTAAAAATCCTGTTTTTGGGGGTGTTTTTTGACAGATAATCGATCATGGCAACCATTTTTTCCATTTTATAAAAAAATTAAAATCTTAGTTTCAAATTCTTTTAAAAATCAATTATCATTTTTTCAAAACTTATTTTAAGAAAATCAGAAATTATAATGTTTATTTAAAATATTTTGGACCAAGTTTAACTTAGCTTCTGCGTCGAAAGATGTAATTTTAAAAATAAAACAAAGCAGGTCATAAGCTTTCGCGTCACTTGACATATTAACGGATTACATGAGGATAATTTCTTCTACAGAAGGAGAAAAGTGAAATTATTTACATTTAAGTGAACAAATTATTTACCTCGTTATTTTTAAGGAAAACTTTCAGAGCTCTATTTTTTTTTGTACTTAGCTTTCACCTTTACATTTACGATGCTTTATGGAAAATACATTATAAAGAAATTACAACTGTTATTACGGTAAAGAAATCAGACTGTTAAGAGTGAGATTAAATTTTATATTTCATAAGAAAGGTATCTAATTAATTTATATGTACCTTTCTTATGATATTTTATCAGACGTGTACATAAAATACTATAATTTTATGTACATTTGCTAAATTTTACTGTGTTATTTGTATTTCTATTCATTTTATTATTAATTTTGACATTTCATTTATGGAAAAATGTCAATACTGAGATTAATATAAAAATAAGATCATACTTGTAGGTACACTTCTCAGTTGAAATTGAAAAATCAAATTAACTTCTCGACACGTGTTTTGCAAAGTAAATGCCTTAACAGCATAGAACAATGCTTAACACAAATAACACTACTTAATTGTATTCTGGTTGGTCTTCCGTACTTTATAATTACAGCCCGATTTATAATAACAAAATTACATTTCTTAATTACTGCAGGTCTTCTGATCAGGGAAAACGATACAATTTACAATGCGCTAAAAAAGATCTATTTCATAAGAACACTTACGAAAGTTGATGCAGTTTTTAACTAATTTTATAATATTTTAAGAAATTAAATGTTTAATAATTATAATTAAAGAAATAACAAATTAATTAATATTATAATTAAAGAAATAACAAATTATTGTATTAAAAATTCATTTTTCATCAATTTTTTTTTATACTTCCAGGAAACATTTTCCCTATCCATAAAAACAAGTAAAAGCAAATAAAAGCATTTCAAATTAAATATCTTTGTTTTATTGAGCTTGATATGCTATAATTCAGAGCTGATTTTTATGTAGGGGGGTCCAATTAAAAACAAAAAAAAAACATGATTTGCATTTCTTAAAGCCTTGTGCTTTTAACTGTTATAATTACTAAAGTTGACTCGATCGAATTTCTAGAGTTTTCATAAAATTACTTATGGTGGGGGGGTAATAAATTTAAAAAAAAGAAATGATTCTGCCATGGCTCTAATAAAAAAAAACATGTTTATAATAATTTCGATCAGCTGTGAATAGTTTCTGGAGCTTCATTAAAATCCGACAATTATTTTTTAATTCTACAAGATTTTCCAAATTAATGTCTGTCATACAAAAAAAAGTGCTAAAAAGAAACAACGATTTTTAAATTAAAATTCAGAATGTTCAAAAAAAAGAAAAAAAATTAAGAATAATTAAAATAAACTTTGATCTTTCCTCTTAATAATAACATAAACATCTAGACGATAAAATTCTGTCTTCATCAAGTTTGGCATACTTTTCATCATGATATGCCCTTTTTTAGCGATCTCGTGGAGGTACCTATCTTAACACCAAAAAAATTACTAAAAACGACCATTTTTGCAGCAATTCCTGGCATTTTAATCGGACATTTACGCATCGATTTTATAATTTGGACTGATTGGTTCTCCACTAGTTCCTATCCTCGGCCCATGTCAAATGAAATAGAATTAAATTGCTATTATATCGTAGTTTTTCCTAAATTATCTTAAGTCATGTCTACTAGTTTTAAGCATTAGTAAATGCCGTAACTTTTCGCTTCAGTTTGGGTGCGTTACCCAGGAATTAATACCCTATGGCCACACGTATTAACCTACAAGAACAGAGAAATTGCCAACGTTTCTTTCTCAATCGTCATGATTTCATATGAAAATGTTAGGTTGATTTGTAACCTGTTAACATCGTTTATGTTGTTAACATCGTTTAAGCTATTAGCTACACCTGCCTTATTCACTCTTCGGTCACAAAGTAACACCTCCTAATGACACTAAGAGACTCAAGGATACGCCAAGGTGACATCAAGTAGACTCCTTGAAGAATATGATGACATTTTTCTGTGTTGGAACAAAGATTAATAACGTGTTCTCGTAGGTGGAGATTGAACACGTGATTTCGTTTCACACGTAAATTAAATTTATGACATACATATTCGGAAAGGTGACAGTTGACTGCAAGCTTCGCATACAGTACATCACCTTGAAACACTGGTTACCGTACGATCACTGAAGTTAAGCAATGTTGAGGAGGGCCAGTACGTAGATTGGTAATCATTTGGACATGCCATATGCTCTAAGCTTCGATGTGCGGATGGTGTAAGAATAGTGGCTCAGAATTGTTAATCGAAGAGTCGAGTTCAAATTCCAGAAGGTTTCTTTATATACACTTACGTGCAAATACCCCTGGGAAAGGTATGACTTCATCTCTTCTCCCCAGCTATGGGTTAATTGATAATACTTGTATCACTAAAACCATTACTATCTTTAACAAAAAAGCAGAATTGCGTACAAAATATGTTGATTTTGTAGTAAATAGTCCATAGAGATTGAAACAATGCCGTTAAACAAAACCAACCCAACAACTGCAACCTTGTATACGATCTGTGCGTGGATTGTGAATTTTAAAAGGGATTTTTTTAACGTTAAACTTTAACTGTTCTAAGTATGACGATAAACTACATCCGCGCCCTGGGTAAGACGATAAACTACATCCAACAGCAAGGCCTCTGATCAGAAGGTTTTGTGGAATCACCTCTTAATTGCTGATGTTTCCAGGTTCACCCTGACCCGGGGTGGTAGCACCTGTTAGGGTCCCAGCTATGGGGAAATAGTTAACCCCCAAACTTTTGTAAACATAGGATTTAATACAAGAAATACTTTGTAATAAAAAAAGATATTACTAGCAATAATTTTTGAAGGAAAAATTATCAGCAATACTTAAAAATACCAGTAACACAAATAGCTATACATTCTTAAGATGTTGGATTGTACTCAAACATATCAGTAATTGAAAAATGGTTTAAATATATATATATATATATACCTACCCACCTTTTTGTCTTCAAACGATCGCTATGAATCTATGTAAAAAAAAATGTTCGAATTAAATGGCCCACTTATGTTAATATGCCATAAACAAAACAATCAACCAACCAACGTTAAACTTTAAAATGGAGGAAAACAAAATATATTTTCGTAATTGATGTTGTCTTATTACTGGAAAAAAAATCGCCATAGAAACTGCAAAAAAATATGTACCGTTTGTGGAGACGGTTCCATAACGGAGAGTATTATTGGTTAGCTAAGTTCAGAAGTGGAATTCCTTGGCAAACAAAGTTCCGGTAGGCTTGCACTTGTCGATGATAACCAAGTCGAAAAACTGTTAAAATATAATCAAGATCAGACAACACGGGTGATCGAAGAGATATTCTTCA